TCTCTATTCTTTAGATTCAGCTCAGCTATTCCAGACCAATACCTTGCTCTAGGAGAGTACCACAAAGGGTGTACCACTGTGCCACTCCATGAGGCCTCCTGGCAACTCCCTGACTGCCCCTTCTGGACATAGAGAAAAATCACACCTTATTTTCCAGAGGCACAAGGCCAGAACACTACCATATCCAAACCAGGCTTGTTTCCACAGACCACCATAAAATTATCCAAGTTCAAACCTCATGTATTCCAACAAGCCTGGATATTAGGTCCATGAGCATCATTTTCACTTCAAATCGCTCCTTACAGTTCTCCAGCTGCTTCAGCAGTTTCTCAGCAAAGTCTGGAAAAAGCAAAAATGGATTTGCAGTAGCCCTTAAGAGCACAACACAGAACTCAAATGGGATTATGCTCACAAGAGGCAGTTTGATTTGTTCTTACTCCCAAGCCCAAGTGCCCTTTCACAGAAGAAATTCAAGATGACCAAAGCACTTATCCAATAGGTTTTTGTACTTCCCATATGCCTAAAAGGCCTGATTGTGCACAGGTTCAGCACTGGGAGCTGACACGTGTTCCCCAACACCATAAGCACTGGGTAAGCACTGGAAGCTAAATGTTTAGATACATTTTGGGTCAATCAGAGAAAATGACATCCCCAGAGGTTCAGAGGAACAGATGAAGACCAAATCAAGTGCTGTTAGATTAACACAAACTGCACTAAGAGAACTCCCTGCACACTCACCTTGGGGATCATGAATCAAGTGAATGGCAGAGAAGTTGAACACCTCTGGCTTGCTCTTCTTTTTCTGTTTCTGCATGGAAACAAGAGCAAAACACATTGCTCTCTTGCTATGAGTGAAGGGCTGCAGTTTCAAGGCTGCTCTCAAAAGATCTCTGCCTCTTCAAGAAGACTTGAAAAACTATCCCTGGGTTTTAAAAACTACCCCCGTTCTCAACCACACAGCATCATCTACCATCTGCAGCAAAACTAGCAGGGCAAAAACAGGCCTCGTTCTAACAAGGTAGAAGCTTCTTTTTCTAGAAGAAGTCTTCTAGACTTCTGTACTAGGAGAATTAAGCCAAGATGATGCAACATCAGACAGCATTCTCCTCACCTTGAGGACCTTCATGGCTTTCTCCAGTTTCTTCTTGCGCTTGGTGGTTTTCTTGTTGGTCGCATAGCGCATCATCAGATCTCTGGCCGTGGGGCCATCATCCTTGGGGAAAGAAAACACAAGTAACCCAGGCTTCAAATGGCAACCAAAGAAACAAGCTACCAACATTTTTCAATACCACGTACTCTGAAAACTATCCCCCTTCCTAAGCGTCAGAACACACAGGTACCAGCATCTATAAACAAAAGAGCTCTTAGCATTTCTCTTTTAATAAACAGCAAAGACATCCTGCCATCACTTGGGGCCAGCTGTAGGACACTGAAGTTGTTTGTGAACCACAGGAACATCTGGAAACAGCTAGAAAGGACAGTGACTAGCACTGAGACAGACAGACCGGCAGAGCCAAGAGTCACCAAGATGACAGAACCAATAACAAGTCTGAAGAACAGAGAAGGGAATATGTGGTCACAACACCCACCTCAGACTCTGACTCGCTGTCCTGTTTCTCATCCTCATCTTTCCCAAGGAAGAACTTCAAACCAGCAACTAACACCTGAAAAGTAAAGTGAGTTCATGTGGGACAAGCTGACAGAATTTACAGCAATTCTCAACTCACATGAATTCAGATCATTTTGCTGATCAGGTTTTTAGTTTTGCTTGCCTGGCTTTTATTGAATAGAACAATCTTTGGACCTTCACAGGACAAAAACTTGTCCCAAGCCATAGCACAAGCTTTAAAGGCTCCAGAGCCAATGCAGAAGGCCCAGTATTCAGTCAGGCTCCAAGCAGGACAGCTGCTCAGCTCAGTTAGTCAAAGTGCTGGTATTAAGGAGAAGATCTCCTGACAATCTATTCTGAAGAGCAGTGAAAAGAACATCCACACTTGTTACAAGATGCCAAACTCCCCCTCCTCCCACGGGTGTTATTCTGAGAACTAAACAAGCAACTTTCCGACCCCTCAGTGTCGTTTGTTTGCTGTAACAACGTATTAAGTTCCATCCACGTGAAAAAGGTAGCCCAGGTAACATCCAGTCCATCAGTGATTTCTCTTCTCACCTTGGTCACTTTGGAAAAGCAGGCAGTTGTGATGACATTGACTGTTTTGGCATCATTCCTGGAAAAAAACAAACCACACCATTTATTTCAACTCTGACAATTTCACATTATTCTCTGAAAATTAATTCTCAGCAAATATTTAAGTAACTCATTTCACACACATTATTTCCTCTCAGCTAAATTCCTTGGCACGAGTTCCAGCTACAATTACTGGGCTACAATTAGGAAATCTGTTTCAGCCACTATCCCCTGCCTTACATTTTGTGCTAGAAATGATGCCCGTGTGCCCCACAAAAAATGGCAAATAGACACAAGCCTGCCAGACCCACCAAATATTCCTTCTGTAAAGCTCTATCATCACATCCAGAGATATCTTGGCAGCAGTGGGATTGCTGTCTCTCAGCATGGTGTACATGAAGTTCTGCAGCGCCTAAAAAGTTGAAAACACATTTCTAGAGGTCTTCCACCGCAGCAAGAGGTCAATTCAAGATACACACAAAAACCAAAGAACCTACCGTGTTCACTTTATTGTTCTTGTGTTTAGCATTGACATTCTTGATGTCTGTCACAATGTGAGTGTACAGGGTCTGCAAACAGAAACACGACAGGGAGCAACGCACACAGAGAAAACCTCCTGCCCAAGCACTGATGTGGGACCCAGCTGATCACCTCTGAGAGCATCACTGAGCTCCAGCAGGAAAAACAACAGGAAAACATCCTGTGAAGACTCACACATTTGTAAACCATGCTGAATTTACAGCACAGCAAGGCAGGACAAGGAACAGCATCAAATATTGCTTCAAGTCCTGCCCCTGCTTCATTCAGGCCTGTTCTGACAGCCAGGCTTTTCACCTGCACACACAACCAAACTGCTCAACGCCAAACAGGACAAGCCCACAACCTGCAACAACAAGCAGAACTCACTTACCAGGCCAACACAGAGCTGGAGCCCTGCCTGCTGAAACAGCTGAGCCATTTTAAACTCTGTTTTCCCAACCAAGCAGAGAATGCCTGTTCTGGCATTACTTCTGGAGAGTTGATCAAAAGCCACTGGAGATGCAGATTTCTGTCATTACCTTTCGGAGCAGCTTATCGTGACACCGCAGCAGTTGAAAGAAGAGCTCCAACAAACTCGTGGGATGTATTAGATTCTTGTTTCTCAGCAAGATCAGAGCCTTACAGAAGGTCTGCAAGAGAACCCGAATTTCACCTTCCTCTCCAGCTTCTCTTCGTTGACAAGCAAAGCGCAAGCTCTCAGCTCGCACCAAGGGCGGGGTGAGCCCAAGGCGGGGTCTCACCATGCGCAGCTCGGGGTCCAGGACCGTGTGGTGGTAGGAGAGCAGCTCCTTCAACTGCTGCGGGAAGCTGGCCATGTGCTCGGGGTAGCAGTGGGCGACCTGCAAGGGACGGGGCAAGCGAACGCTCCAGAGCACACCCGGGCTTACCTCAGAGCTTTGGCGAGCAAGATTAATTGTTTATAAATCAGTAATGGTCACTCGGGCTGCCGCAGCCGCAGGGCTGGGCCCGCGGGCTCACCTGCGCCAAGAACATGAGCAGTTCGGCCAGCTCCTTACTGGGCTTGTCCGGCTGGAAGGTGAAGATCTCCACATGGGACTGGTAGTGGTGGTACTGCTGCAGGAACTGCGCACACACAGGGAACAGCGACAGCTGAGCAACACCCACCCGCCCGCACCCCCGAACCCGTCCCAANGCTGGCACCCGGGACAAGCGGCTCCTCACAGGCCCGGTTACCCTCGGGACAGAGACCGGGACAAGCGGCTCCTCACAGGCCGGGCTGCTCTCAGGACAGAGACCGGGACAAGCGGCTCCTCACAGCCCCGGTTACCCTCGGGACAGAGACCGGGACAGCCCCGCGGGCCCAAACCCAGAGCCGCCCTCAGAAGTTACCGCAGCACTTGGGGCCTACCACACTCGCTCTATCACTAATGTGTGCTTCTAAACACATCTCAAATGGTCACTGGAGAAGTGATCAGCATTACAAGGGAATTTCAGTGAGGAGAAAGGGTTAATTATATTCTAGTTTTTTTAAAGTTTAGTTTTAGATCAAGAGAACAGAAAACTGACCTCTTGATTTTCACAGCATTCAGGCAGCTGCTTATTTACACTGTAGAAAAATGATCATTCCTTGATTCAGTGCACTTAGCAAGCATTAAATGCTGTCCATTAAATGCTCTTATGTTCAGCCCCACCACACCTATCATAATGGCATCAAGGCCTAATCATGGTACAGTCTAAAACCTTTAATAGAATTTCTCATGTAAGTCACCAGCACTTTTCCCAGAGAAATGCTTTTTACTCTGTTGATAAGAGTCTCAGAGGCAGCTGCAACCACCCTACGTGCTAGTGGGTTACCAGTGACAACCTGAACATACCAGCTCAGGTGAATTGGGCTTTCCTATACCTATTAAAGCAAGACAAGCACATCTCCTTCTACATACCTACACAGCTCACTAAAAGAAAAAGTCTTTAACATCACTTGGAGAACAAAATGACTGCAAAGGTAAGAGAAAAACTTGTTACCAAATGCATAGAACCACAGCAAGCACACCATCACTAAAACAGTTAAATGAACATTTAATACATTTACTTTGCCAGCTATTAGTTTGATTCATTAACATCTGGACCTGCTTAGCCTCTACTTCCAGTCAGCTTTACTTTATTGAACACTCCAGCACAGCCCTTAAATAACCCAGCCAAAGAACCTGCTTGATCCTGCACACTCCATGGTCAAACCCTATCTCAGCACACACAACTTATTGTTCTGCAAAACAAAAACACAACAATGCAGGCTTAACTCAACCTATAAAGAAAAAAAACAAAGCTCAGGTTCACATTAAAGTACTCCAACACAGTTAGGTCACTGGCTGACTAAAACATAATATTTGCACTTATAAAGAGGAGCAGGCACACTGCTTGAGAAAGGCATGGAGCAAAACAGCCTTACCCACACTCCAGAGTAAAACACTACATATTTACTACCTCTGCAGGAGCAAGGCTATTACTTAGATTTCTACAAAGGTTATTAACAAAATTTGACAAACAAACCAACTCAGTTTCATTATATACAAATAGAGCACAAATAAAACTCACGTTTCTAAACGATTTCTGCTCATTGAATGTTAACAAATGCATTATCAAAGAACTAGCACATAAGAGAATATTCACTATAGTGCCTTTAACGAAGAAAAGCAAACTTGACAGGCCTTTCATCAAAGCTCTTTACTTGAGAAGCCACAAAAGTTAGAAGCCTAAGCAAATTGACATATAACTTCTATCCTAAATGAAATCATAAAGTTAGCTTTCATAACTAAACTTTAAAGTAACATCCTAAAAACACCCAAAAGCAAACCAACAGTTTCCCTTAAACAAACACACCAAAAGTCACCCTAACACCATATCTACTACCCCCAAAAAACTGATTTAACTCTTGGTGTGAGTATTTATACCCCAAGCCTGTTGTTGCCTGATTGATCTCATTACCTTTGCTAATTGGGCTGGACATGCTTAAATTCACCTGGAAAAGGGCAGCCGTTTTCTGTTTGGTGATGGTGGGGTTGCATGAGTGACCCTAACTGCTAATATTAAGAAAAAACCTGTTCCTTTGTCTTTTTCTGTTGCTTTGTGAGCTGAGTAGTACCTTTTATCTACATTTGTTTAAGTAACATGTTAGGCAAAGAATTTTTCCTAAGTCTTTGTGGTATGGAACAAAAGGTAAGTGTTTTTTCTTGCATATGTTTTGAAGTCCATGTGTGTTTATTAAGCTTTAATTTTCTTTGAGGGTAAGAAGCTGATAGAGAATTTTTACATTTTATTTAAGTGCAAGAGAAAAGCTGGTTTTCTTCATTAAGACATCCTTTTTTTATTTCTAGTCCAATCTTCTAAACGTGGTTATGTCTGTCATTTGGATTATAGAGAACAAGTTTGGAGTTATCTTTCATTTTTAATTACTTGTTTTTCAGTATGGAATTATTACCTATTGTATGTTGTAAGGTTTTCCTTTTGTTTTAGAGGTGATACATAGGTTAAATGTGCTGTAAAAGAAGCAAAACAGAGAACCAGCACACTCAAACTTGAAGCAATGAGTTGTGTTCTTCAGGTAAAATAGGCTCTATTAAAAACTGAAAAAAGGGGGAAGCTGTTATTAAAGCTGCTATTAGGGCACTAAGGTGTTTCTCTGCCTTGTGTTTCTGTATTTTTTCAATCAGTTGTGCAGTAGTAGGGGCTGTAGAGTTCATGGATGGGGTAGAATTGCACATGATGTCAGGTTGGGGCTTTGGAAATGGGCTGCTCTTGGCTTTTTTTTTTGTTCTTGTTGCAATCAGCCCCAGCTTTTTATCCCATCAAGAGCTGTCGAGTTGGAGTTTTCACATTGTTTTGGAGGTTTTACTTGGATATATTTAATGTAATTGCCAACAGTTCATTTAAACTCCCTCTCAATTCCTGGCCCTTAATGGCTGTGGGGAATTTGTCTTCCTGGACTTAATACTTGTAATTTTGTAATTGAGAACAGGGTCAATGCTCTTTTTATTTAAAAAAAAAAAAAAAAGAGTCTCTAAGTCCAACAGAAATAATTATTTTCAGATCATGACTCATAAATCATTTGCAGATTTGAGACACAGTAAGTGTGTTGCTCAAGGGAACAGGGGGATGTTCCCGTAATGATTTGAGAAATGCACAGTCACTCGCAGCTCCAGGGGGAGAAGAGCAGTCCAGCTGGGGGTGCTGATGTCAGGTATTTGTGTGGAAGCAGAGGCTTGCAGCCTCCAAGCCTTTGCTTGCTGCGGCATTCCTTTGCTTGTAACACTGATATTGCTTCCTCTGAGGGGAAGAATTGTTGTAAATCATTGTTGAAGGTCGAGCCCCACACGTCTGTGATAGTAACTGAGTAGCAAAGGTTGGTTTGCAGTGATAAACTGGCTTCCCAAAGGCTGCTTGAGTACCCCCAAAATATTAGCTGGGAATGAATACATTTTCCTGCCTCATGAGGATTAAAGTGGTGACAAGGGAAAAAAACCCAAGTTCTTTCTCTCAAGCTGTATTTCATACTGTGACCCACTAACTTGTAACCTCACAGCATTCTGAGACCATGGAACATCAGGATTATTGAAGATGAAAATGTCTTTGAGATGAATTTTGATGAGTTATACATACCCACTGCAATATTTAGGCTGCCAAGAGGCTCTTGCCTCTTGGTGTTTATTTGAATTGGTTTGTTTTTGCCTGATGGAGGGAGTGAAATTATATTTATACAAGTTTGTTTTTCATAATTCTGCTATAATATCAGAATAATTTGTATCAATCATTTTTATACCTTTGCTCTTCAAAATTTGGCCCCGCAATATTTTTTTTTTTTTTAGGACAGACACCTTGCACATGAAAGAATATCCCCCAGACCACCTGATTTAGGGGTGATGAAAACTTCTGATCTGTGGACTGCAGTTTCAAGAGTTAATTTAGGTGATGTTTGGATTTTGAGATTCCCATCCTGCACTGCTTGGGAATCAAAGCAGCTCAGTGATGCAGAGCTGATCCTAAAATGATAAACCAGTTCAGCCTCAATCTGTCAGAGGTTCTGCAAGTGCATGGAAATGTTTCTATTCTGGTATTTTGGGAGACCTTGCTTGTAAATACAAGCAGTTATTTAGGGAGAGTTTGATTAATTGGGAAGGAGAAAAGAATATGATTATAGGTTTGGCTTCCTTTTATGCATTTTTACAGAATTGGAATAGAGCACACAGACTGATGCAGAAAGAAGTTTATTGAATGCTTCACTGACAAAACTACAATTGTGGGAATAGGTTTTTTGCTGTTTCATTACTCCAATTCTGAACCCTGAGCTAGGGTCCTGCTCCAGCAAATGATTTTGTGTTCATAGAATTTTTTTAGGTTTTAAAGGCAAGGTGAGGAACAAGTAAAGAAAATTGAGCCAGTTAATTTTTTTTTTTGTTTTTTTCACCACTTGAACCAGGAGCAGGGGTGGAAGAAGGCAGCAGTATCAGTAAAGCAGTGGGGAAAGTGAAATGCCCAACATCTCCCAGAAGAGCTGAGTATTCCTGGCACAGTTGAGGGCTTGGCAGCTTTGCAAAACACTTCATGGTAGCAGTGTCTTTTGATGTTCTCTGAATCTGAGAGAACTGGAAGCCTGCAGATGTCTAAGGGCTAGAAGGGCCCCTCATCTTTTCTCTCAGCTATGGTTTTACACCTCTCTTCTAAGGGCATAAATGCTGCTAATGCCATCAAAGGCCTTGTATGAAGGTTGTGCAGAGGCCACTTGAAATCGGTCAGGGGAGAGAAGGGCACAGACACTCCTGCTGATGTCTGTGGCATTCTTGCTGGGGGGAGACACACAGGAGACTGGGGAGGAGGACAGCTTCCCCAGAGCTGTAAATCACTGTAGGTCCCTTGACTTCAGGGGAATGACAGCCTTCTGTCTGCTGGGGATCTGGTCTGTACAGTCTGACACACAACATGGCATTGCAGGGGCATGAGAAGGGAGATGGACAGCCAGGAGCTGCTCTTGGGAGATGGCACAAGTCTGAGGTTGGAGATGGGAAGAGACAAGCTGGGTTACTGGAGGTGCCGGTGCTTGGGGTGCTGCCATCCAGGTCCTGTGGTGCTCCACACACATTTTGGCTGGGAATGAGGATGCTCCAAGGCTCTGGCACAGCAGAGAGCCGAGCTACTCGGCCAAGCAGGAGGCTGGTGTCAGAGCTGCTGGAACCTGATTCACCTGCCCGTGGAACAGGAGTGGCACGGGGGAGCTGTAGCACTGGTTCCTGTCGTAGGTGTAGCAGGTCTGCGGCTCCTCGCAGGAGTTGCCCTGCTGGGCCTGGTGGATCGCCCCACCCAGGTCAATTTCTACGGGATCACAATTTTTGCAGCTGGAAGAGATGGAAAACAGAACAAGTGTGAGGAGTTAGATGAAAAGATGACCCTGGTGAATCCCAAATCTTTCTTGCTCATCTGTACATAGAGCCGGGAGAGTGCTGTGCTTTCTAAGTGCTCCAGGGGGACATCTGGCCTTCTGTCTTGCAGAGCTGCTGTGGGTTAAGTCCTGGAAAGTGAAGTTAGGAAATAAAACTACTTACAGTTCGCTCAAGCGGTAGACAAAAGTGGTCCTGAGTGGGGACAGGGGGTCAGAGATGTTCTCCCGAGCCTTCAGGGGGACTCTGCAAAGGTAGGAAGAGAGTCACTCTCAGGAAAGCTGCTATATGAAACAGAGTCTGCTCTGTTGTGAGCAGTTCTAAACTCTCATCTTTTTCAGGTTATTTTCATTTTGACCCTTCTCTGAATCAAATCCCAGGGACAGGTCTTGGTCCTCTGCACCCTCCAAGGCAACGACCCTCCCCGAGAGGACTGCAGCCATTGATGTAAGTGCTGCTTGCAAGGTGACAGGCTGAGTGTTAATTTTTATTCAACTTTGAGCTGGCAGATGCTTGAGGCTGATGGACAGGGATGTTTAATTAGTGGTTCTCCTGTTGTGAGCTCTCCAGCGCTCCTGCAGCTCTGGGCTTAAAGCTGGTCCTTGTTTCCCAGAGAGACAAACACTTCTGTTAGGTTTGTGTGAGTGGAGAGGACAGGACCAAGTCCTGCTCTCCAAGTGAGCTCTGTCTCATGAGAGACAGTTTAGACATTAAATAACAGTTTATCAGTTTAGGCATTATTTTCCCAGGCTTTCTGTCTGGTCAGGAAGTCAATCCAGTGTGATGGGCCCAATCTGGTTTCAGGTTAGATCAACTCTAGACAGGTCAATATCTACTTCACCTGCCTATTGTGTGAAGTTACTACTGGTCTGACTAAAACATGGAGATGCTTTTTCTCTCTGAAGGGGCAAACATCAGAGAGGCAGAAAAGCACTTAGCAAAGTGAAATACTCAGGGTTACCACAGAAAGCAGCCCACGTGAAAAGCTGTTTGCTTCATCAGTGCTGGGACATAAGAAACAATGCGAAGAAAACTCATCTAACGCTGCATCCCCTGCTCACCATCACTATGAAATACTTGGCTGCCACTTACATGATGCGGATGTTTCTCTCCAGGACTTCTTCATCAGGATTTTCTTTGGAGGGGACAAACCTCGAGGTCACTGTTACACACTGACACTTATTATTGACCAGCACGTACTCCTCATTGATGGGGCTCACTGGATAACCTGCAAGCACAGGATAGGCAATCCAAGAACTGAGAACAAAATCCTTGAAAGCTGTTCTAGCAGATAGCCAAAGGATGAAAATGCCAGCAATGCACCCTCATGGCACCTGGATTGATTTAAGTTTACGGGTACAAGTGAGTCTCTTAGCAAAGATGAGTTCAGCTGTCTTCCTCCTCAGCTCAGAGTGCTGCTCTGTGTAGGTGTAGGGGTGGTGGGACTGGGAAGGACAAGATGAGCAATCTGGACACTGTGGCTGGTGAGGGATAAACAGGCAGGGATTGCTGATAAAATGGGAAGCAAGTCCCAGCCACAGCTGGTGGCTGAAGTGCTCTTTTACTAGGAGTTGGTTATGCAATTCCTCTGTCATGCACCAAGACTTCTCCAGCAGTCCAAACCCCAGGTTGGATCCAATCTCTAAATAAATGTCTCTGACCTTGCCAATATGGCACAGGCATGGGTTTTCCTTGAGTGCCATCTTGTCCTTCAGGTTCCTGGGGGAACAGCTGCCAAAAAGCACGGAAGGACCCAGCAAGAGGCAGCCTCCTGACGTGGCAGGGAAAGGCAGGTGGCCCTGATGGTGGTTGTGGTTTGCAGGGAAAACTCCAGTCCTGATTTACCTCTCCAAACTGCTGCTTCTAGCATGCTACTTGATACGAAACTCAGTCAAAGCAGGCTAAAACATGCCAGGTGTCACTCAGAGACTTGTGGGATGTTTCTGATGTTGCACAATGCTGCCTGACTGCAAGTAGATGGATTTGAAAGTTTGTTCTTTGCTGCTGTGTTTTCCCCAATCCTCAGGTCTCTTCACCCATAACAAGCCAGCCTTGCTTTCATGTGTTGTTTTTACATCCCTCTGTGTTATTAGTGTTATTAAATGCTGCTGAAATCAAGTTCACAGACATCACTTTGCAGCATCATTTTTGCTACAGAACCTTCAGCCTGCTTAGAAGTACCAGACCCAGTGATTTTTGTTATATGGGGACAAATTGTGCTCATGTGGATTTCACTTCTGGGGACCTGCCTGCTCTGCTTGTCCCTCGGGTAAATCATAGAGAGGAAGAAGAAACAGGCTGAAAAAAGCTGGGTTAATCATGTCTATAAAGGATTTTGGAGTTACTTGGACTTGAAAGCTTTGGTCCTTCCTTTCCTTATAATATCCTGTTCTCATCTGCTTCCAGTTCCAGGTTTTCTGAGATTTGTTACAGGCACAGTATCTGTGAGAAGGGTACCAATACTGTGTAAAATGATGCCTCTGTGACCCTAGAGTTGACCTGCCGGTTACCAGTGCTGTTTCTGTGGCCTTTGGCAGCAGTATGCCTGCTGGATAAGATTCTCTATGGAGTTCCTAGCTTGGGAAGGAAATCTCTTTCCTAGCCTGTTCTCCAAGCTTCTTCTCTGCCAACTCATTGTTCTGCATGAGCTCTTCCCTCTGATGCAGCAGCCTCCCAGAAAAGCTTCTCTAGTCCCTGGCTCCTTGTCTTGGCTCTGTTTTGGCTCAAGGGAACTCTCTGCCTTTTTGTCCATCACACAGCTCTTGCTCTGCTGTCTGTGCTGCATTCCACATAATGTTGTGTGCAGCTCTTTCCAAACCCTTCATCCAAAGCCAATGTTCAAGTCAGATCCTATTGGCTTTCGGGTTGTCCCAAAACCTCTCAGAGCAGGCTTTAATTCTAAAATTAGATTAACACAATCTTATGCCTATGCAGGTTTTTCTGACTGCTCTAAAAATACTGCCCTGATTTAATTCCTTGTGTTATGCTCTTGGCTTATGTGTTAAAGTTACTGGTGCTCCATCAATTTTTCATTTAAGATTACAATGCTAAAAAAAAGCTCTTTTATCTGCAGTATCTCCACGTGTCACCCAGTGAAGTCCCCTTGGGGAGAAGGTATTTAAATGCAAAATTTTACTAATGCTGTTCTAAATATCCAAAATCTCCTGGTGCCTGAGTTTCTGGATTAAGCTATTCCCTCCTTCCTCAATACTTGTGGCTGTGTTTTGGACACAATTTCTCATCTTCCAGTATTGCATTGTCCTTTGATACACTGTGAAGCCCAACAGAATTCCCTGGGTTAGGCAATAAGATGCCCTCCTCGAAAAGCTGCAGCAAATGCAGCAACCATTGGGATGGTTATCCCAGAGCACGGATTCCATCCTGCAGAGCAGATCCACCATGTGCAGCAGCAGCATGGATTCAGACTGTCTAGAGACCCAACACCCACACTAAGAAGTGTGCTGGGAGGACAGGCTGAGCTCAGCTGAAATCGAGAGTTTCCAAGAAATTCAGCAGAGTTAGGTGATAAGCTACAGTTTAATCAGAATAAATTGGCTGTAGCTGTATGGCAGGATTAGCAGGAAGGTTTTGGAAGCCTTTAGATCTAGCAGGTAAGATCCCTAGGAGTGCAGGAAAACAAGCACACACGTTTGCAGTTTATTGCTTCAGAAACCTGATAAGAAATGGCAAATTATCAAGTATTAAATTTGGAGCTAGTCATCACTTTATCCTCCGGGCAGCAATTAAAACCAAACTGCTCTGATGCAGAAACACCCTGAGGTGTCCAAGCACCGCTGAAGCATGGCTGCTTGAGCAGGCTTTGAGGTTTGACCTCTGACTGTTAGAATAACTCAGGGTAAATTACACAGAACCTGCCATTGATGTCTACATCCCAGTTTTCCATCTCTCACCTACCTGCCACGAGGACAATCCCCAAGGAGACGGCCAAGGCAGCAGCCAGCGACAAAGAGCTCTTCATCTTGCCTTCCCTTCTTTTGAAGAATGTGAGTGGAGAGCCTGACTCTGCCTATAAGGGCATGTGCAAATTTGTTTCCTAAAATA